AAAGTGTAAAAGTTCGGTCTATTATAAATCACATCTGTCATTTATCCGCAAGAGTATTCAATCTTCGTCATAGCAAAGGCAATTGTCTTTCATGTTTTGCTTTTGTTTTTGCTTGGCCAACAGCTGTGCAAATGCTTTGTCACAAATCGAACCGCAGTCGAGGAAAGTTTTGGCCCAGTCTCTGTCGGCTTCGCACAAGTGTCTGTAATGTCGTTAGCTGTTTTTGGCCGTTGTTAATTTGCCACTTCAATGTGCAATGTCAATGCTAATGCCGAGTGGCCAAGATCTCGGCAGCGTTTGTGCTGTGCGTGCCCAATCAGGCGGCAAACCATCATCGGATGCGAATGCACTGAAACGGAACTATCGACGTCTCAGTTTACAGCATTCTCCGGACTCGACACTCAACGCTCGACTGAGCTGCTTTGGAGTGACCAATGTGGTATCAACTTACCAGCCAGTTGCAGGGCCAAGTTCTACTTTTTATTCAATTTTTCACTCTCAGCCAACTTCTTTTTCTTTGTCATGGGAGTTGTCTGCTGTGGGTGCCACTGTCTGCTGTCAGCTGCAGCAATGGAGCGTGCCTTCTGGGTTTATTGCTGGCATGCAAATTGCATAAAATATTGCCAAGCTATAAAAGCATATTGCTGTTCACTGAATATGTGATTTGTGGCTACAGTGGTTACAGCTGGGCTAGAGACCAGAAGCAGCTAGAAAGAAACCACAAAAATGCTGCTCAGCGTTGACAGCACTAGAATAGACTGTGCTGCATTTGACAACAGCCTGCTAAAGCTGTAAGCTACTCTAAGGGGAGGAATATAATTTATTTATTATATGCATAACTTAAAATGGAAGTAGCAACAGCTTTGCATAGCTTGCTTCAGATGCAGCTGCTGAAAAATAGTTGTGTGTGCAAAACCTTTTCTATTGCCTGCATTCCACATAAATCTCAACCGTGATAATCCATTTCCACACACAAACAGACACACACACAGTTACACCTTTCACCCCTGCAATTTCCTTGATGCTAATTTGAAGAGCGCTATCTGGCCATAAATCCTAAGCAAACAGCGGGTCGTCAGCGCTGCGCGAGATAATTAAGATTTTTTGGTATTTCCTAACGTGATTTGCTCAAGTGCCACAATTTCCTGGTATTCGCGCAGCATCTGGCGGCCGGGCGCATCCTCGGCGGCAACAGCGTACTTCCTACTTTGCCATATTTGGGCGTGTTCGCACATTTCCAGCCATTAGTCATTAGCGGCTGCTGCCGCTGCGGCCTGACCAACTTTTCACCTGCAGCCCGAAGCGGAAAGACGTTTTTCCGAGCATTTTGCGTTTCATGAATTTTGTGGTTTTCCGCTCGAAAAAACGTGATCTTTACAACGAGTCCCAGCAGGCTGTTGGTGCCGCTTAATTAAATCAGCTAAGCACCTTGACCCACTTGCCAGTCACTGGCCACCACCACCAGCAGCACCACCACATTCATCTGTCTGTCAGCTTTGGCAAATGTGCAAATCACCGAAAACAGCATTAGACATGTTTTGATTTTTGTTATACGCCACATTTTGTGGGTCGCACCATGGCAGCACCTGGTTAAACATGTCTTGAAAATGCCTGCTCCCGTTTCAAGGCCCGTTGCAATTAATGAGCTAAGCCAATCCGTTAAATACCTGGCGAATTGTCAATGTAACACGTTGACAACTCTCAGATACAATATATACGCACACGAATATCTCGTTGCGCAACCTTATTTATGATGTTTACGGTGCATTTGCATGGTAGGCGCGTCTTCATGCCCCGCTTAAACTAGTTGCCGTTACGCTTAAAACAGAGTAAATACTAATGTGTTTTATAGATAGTAGTTAGTGCAACTATTAAGCGCTGAAATGTTGCTAGTCTCTCAATTTGAACTTATGCTCGTATTACCCGGCCTAGCGTGGTATTTGCTTTCCATCCAATTTATGTGAATTGCGCATAAAGCCTTGAAAAAGCGTTTGAAACCAACCTTTCTGAAAATTAAACGATTGCTCATATAACCTTGAACCGCAATGAATGTGAAGTAAAGCGAAAAAAATGAAAAACAAATTTACATAAAATAAATTTCCGCCCATATTTCACCCGAGTAAGTGGATATGCCCAAGATACGAACCCGCATCAGGGACTTTTGTTTTTGAATAGTTTGCATTAAATGCATTAAAAGTATCTTTTAACTTGAGTTGAAGAAAAACTCCATTGCTTTAATTTAACATTTGTTTTTCTCATTTGCACTTCTATTTTTCTGTGCCCTGTTTTCAGATCTAATTTATTAGCAGCTCCTATCGCTGTGCACGAGTCTCGCAGGTGCCATGAACTCAATTATTTTTGCAATTATATTTTTTAATGTGATTTTACTGCTGTGCGTGGTACGCAGTGGCAGTTGCGATAGCTACCTGACTTGACGACTTGCTTCAACTTAAAGTAAGTGGAAGGCACATTCGAGGCGCCACAATTGGAAACCATTCACAATTCGTGGCATTTACTGCGTCATCGATGTGGCAGCCTCGCAATGGAAACTGTTTATTTCAATTAATCCAAGTTTGCCCTCAATTGAAATGTCAACACGCTTCTGTTCTCTGCCGGCGGCAGTTAGATGCGGCCACTGAGCCAGCCTGACATAATAGCACCGACTGTCGGCTGCCCTGTTGCCGCTTCCATGCATGCCGCTCACTTTAAAGTGGGTCAATCGACAGCATTTAGCTGTACCTCATATCTCTCTATCTGGACGCAGCATCTGCAAAGCTTTTGGCCAAACTTGGACACACATACTTACATTTGAACATGGCCATTTACGGGCGGTTTTTTGCTAGCCCGCGAGATGGTGGAGGCGAAGAGCGAGTTATCGAAGTTGTTGTGTAGCTTGTATAGAGTTGTTGCTATTAATATACCCTGTACTGATTGATAATTTACACTAAGGTTTGCTAATGTTGTGCAAATTTGTAGAACTAGGTACACTTCTATGGGAACTATAGAATACTGAAGTTTGGAATATAGGTTCTCGTCTTTCCTATGCAAACAAAAAGTTTATATTTTTATCGATAGTTTCTCGCAAACCTCCTCAAATCAAGAAATTTCGCTTTACAGCACCCAATATGTATTTCGAAGATTATATTAGCAATATTCTTATATACCACAAGATATCGTTAATGGTTCAGTTCATGACTCGAACCAACTCCCTGCGTTTGGGTTCTCTTCGTGAAACTGGTTTTACATACCCTGAAAGGAGATTACTATTCAAAACTTTGCTGTTCATAAACTTTTTCAAAAATTTAATGAAGCAATCCAATTTGTCATTTAATAATTACACATTCCACTAATTGATCCCTAAATTTGCTGGTTTAAATTGGTTCATATTTGGTTTAGTTTGGAGTTGGGTTTACAGAGAAAAAATAGAATTGTGTAAAATGTATTATTAAAATATTTCACTGCTTCAATTTATCCCCTAATTCCAAAAACAAAACATTTTTATATGTCTAGATCACATAAAATGATACATTGTACTCAAATGCCGTCGTTGTTGAGGTAGTAGTAGATATCTTTATGATGTGTAACGAGAACTCTATACAGGGTATCATAATATCGTTCACACTTCGAGTTGAGAGCTGTTACTTGTTTTCATTATAGTGAAACCGGTTTCACTTAAATGGCGCACTGAAGTTGCAGCAAAGTACGAAAAGTGGTTTATGTGGTTAGTCTCGCTTCCTGGAGCACTCGTCATTTGGTCGCAGTTGCCCTCTGTAACCAGTTTCTGAGGCGTCTTTTGATTTGGCTTTTGTCTGCTGTTCTGTTGTTGGGTTCACTTGGGTTCGGTTCGGTTCAGTTGGTCTGTTTGTTTGTTTGGGTCACGCTTTGATAGAACTTTCAGGCCAGCCGGCGTGCTGTACAATTATTTTATGTAAATTGCGGGCCCTCGAGCCGCATGTCTTTTAGTTGATTTTCTTGCACGACAAGCTAACTGAATTGCTGCCCCTTTGTCAGCTATTGGCCAGGTTAGCAGCTACACAAATGTTTCGCTTTATTTATTCGGCGATGTTTAGCATTTTATTTTGATTTCCAATTGCCTCATTAATGCCTGGCTATAAATCTCAGACAATAAGAAACCCCTGCGCAATGTTTTCCCACAGCAAATCAATCGCTGGGGCTTCAACTTTTGCCTGCTTTACTTTTGTTTATTTATGGCCCCCCCTCCAACCTAATCGTAGCTTGGGCCTGGGCTTGGGCTTTTTCAGCTTCGATTTCATGCTCGGCACATCACACCGGAGTGGAAGTCATTTAAGTGCAGACAGCGTGCCACACTTGGCTGCCCCCGCTGGCCCTGCTGCAGCTTTTAATGTATGCGCCTAATTTACATTGCCACCGACTGTCGATTACGCCAACTCCGAGTGAGACTCACTGACTCACTGGCTCACTGGCTGACTATCTGACTGCCTGACTGCTCAACTGTCTGAGTGGCAGTTGCGATTGCAGCTTTTGGCTCAAACCGCGCGTCAACCAAATGTTGCACGGCTGTTGCGACTGTCGTTGTCGTTGTCGTTGTTGTTGTTGTTGCTGTTGTTGCTGTTGCTGCTGTTTCTGTCTCGGCCTGGTCTGCACTTTAATTTGGTGTCTTGTGCGCGCCAGTCGCTGCTGAGCCCCAGCCCCAGACACAGCCAACCACATTCAGTCGCCGCTTCATAGCTGCATAATTGGATTTGCATTGTGTTATTTTAAGTTGTTTTTTTTTTTATTTTTTTGTTGTGGTTTGACATTTATTGATTTTTAATAAGTGTCATAAGACGCTGACACGCCATGGAGAGCTTTGTGCCCATCGCTGAGTTCCAGAAGATCAAGCTGCGACCCGTGCCCAGGGTCAAGCGGCGTGCTCCACAGCCGCCAGCTAGCCTGAAGCTGCTGAAGAATGTGGGCATAGAATGCCATTTGGAGTATTAGAAGTCGACTGATCCAAAGTTATTTTTCGACATTTGCAGACTTCGTCCACCACAAAGACAACAACACTCACCACGCCGGCCAAGCTGTACGGCAAGGATTTGAGCGAATACGACGATGTGGACGTGGAGAGCCTGTTGGCGCAGTTGTCACCCGAGGAGATAACCATACTGGCCAAAGAAGTTGATCCCGATGTGAGTATTCATTAATATTAACACACACACACATGTATCTGTAGCTTTATTTACTTTTGACTCTTCTTTAGGACAACTTCCTGCCGCCAGATCAGCGCTGCAGCTACGAGTGCACCAAGGATGCCACCGGGCCGCTGAATCGCAAACAGCTCATCGAGCATATTAACAAGCAAGCAATTGAGACGCCCGATCAGCCGGAGTTCGAGCCCTATGTGCAGGGCAAGGTGCGCGGCAAGAAATGGGTGCCACCGCCGCGTGATGCCCGTGATATTGAGGCAGAGGAACAGATCGCTATTGACATGGGCGAGGAGTATGAGCATGCGCTCAATGATGCCACGCAGGAGGAGATTATCGATTTGGCTGCCATTCTTGGCTTCCACTCGATGATGAATCAGGATCAGTACCATGCCTCGCTGCTGAACAAGGGACAGCCGGTTGGCTTGGGCTGGGATGGCATCACAAAGTCCACACAGCAAAAGCTGTTCCCCATGGATCCGCCCAACAGCACAGATGTTGAGGAGTCGATTAAGCGCGTCAAGGATGATGATTCCAAGCTGATTGACCTGAACTTGAATAACATTAAGGTATGTAATCAAGATTAAAACTGAAGAGATAAGCTAATTGGAAACCTGGCTGCAGAATATATCGGATGAGAAGCTCGAACAACTCTTTGCCGCACTGCCTCAGAATGAACATTTGGAAGTTCTATCGCTGACAAACGTCGGCCTGACCGATAAGACAGCTCTCCTGCTCGCCGAAGCGATCGAGAAAAGCAAAACCCTGAGAGTATTAAATGTTGAAACCAACTTTATCAGTCCGCCCGTAATTGTTACGCTCGTGCAAGCCCTGCTCAAATGTCGCACCATCGAGGAGTTCAGGGCCTCCAATCAAGTGAGTAGCAAATATATATTATTGAATATTGTTTTAAGCATTCGCTAAATGCGCTCTATAACTTGTTTACAGCGATCTGCGGTGCTTGGCAACAAGATTGAAATGGAGATCACCAATTTGGTGGAGAAGAACTCGTCGCTTCTGCGACTTGGCTTGCATCTGGAGTTCAACGATGCGCGTCATCGCGTGGCCGCCCATCTGCAGCGCAACATCGACAGAAGTAAGTTGGCCGTTGCCATTGGCCGCGGCTTGTCCCCACACAATATTTGCAGGTTGTCAGCGTTGGTTCTACGTTTGCCACTTCGCTCGATAGGCTCGCGATCCCTTTTGAATATATAGATAAACAAATTATGTATAATAGGTCTTTATTCATGAGCAACTCGTGTGTACCTCACTCTCGCGTTTAGGTGAATTGCAACAAGGTACGTTAGCTTTCCGCGCCGAAGCTTCGCCACCGTCATCCCCATCCGCATCAGCATCTACATCTGCATCTCGCTCATCAGCAGCCATCTCACACTCTAAGGCCAAAAGCTTGGCTGCTTTCGAGCAGTTTGTCAAGGCCCGAACTTGGACTAATGCAAAAGATTCTGATCATGTTTTGCCATCAGGGCGCATTGCGCGCAATCTGCAGTTGAACTCAGCAACAGCCACAGCAGCCACAACTGGAGTCGCCACGGAAGCCTCCACATCATCAGCTGCCTTAGGCCTCTTGCGCACTGAGAACGAAAAGGAAATCTAAGCTTGGATATCCTTTCTAGACCCCAAAACTCGTTGGTAACCAAAAAGTAGTTGATATACTTTTATCCCCCTCTCTGTTTCTCTCTTGTGGTAACCAGGTAAAAACGTTATCGTTTCGTGACCCCGACCGACGTCTTAGCGTCTCTTTATAGTCCAGTCGTTTAGCCTAACATTTCAGCACATTTCTCACCACAAAACGTTCTCGTTCGTTCTCGTTATCACCTCTCGTTGCGTTGCGTTTCTCGTTGCGTTGCGTTACGTTGCGTTACTTGTTGCGTCACTACGTGGCCTACATTTAGTTACATTTATATACCTAAGTGGAGCTTATTTAAGATCACATTCGCCCACTCATTTGATCAAAACTCATCAGCAGCAGCTCATCTTTTGTCTAAATTAATATATATATGATAAATTATATTTTAAGTCAGTATTACATTCTAGGCCAGATTTACGAAATTCAATGTCATTCTTCACATATGTACACATAATGCTATTTCTGCCTTATCACGTTTGTGTGTACCGTGCTCCCTTTTAGATATTCCTCCGTATTGTCTCTCGTCCCTCGTTAGTGCAATCTTTGTGTCTTGTATATACCATAGAATGTTTGACACTTTGTCTACACTACGATTCGATTTAAAGCATTATTAACCAATTATCTGTTATATATATTTAAATCCCAAAATTATCAAATTGTATCCCTCAACTCGACTTGTCCTATGTGTATATTAAACAAACGCCACCAATCAACCAACAAACCAACCAACCAATCAACCAACCAACAACAACAAATTTCCAAACGATCTTCAGTCTTCCGGGTGCAAAAACTTAAACCCAATTTGCCCAAATTGATATTGCCCAGCAACATGGAGATTGAACGTGATCTGGCCCACTCGGCCACGCCCTCGCCGTCACCATCGCCCTCACCGTCGCCACAGCCGCCGGCCGACTATGATGTGGAGGTCGATCCCGATAATATGGTTATACGCGGCGGCGGCGGCGATGCCTTTGATCCAGAAATCGATCCCGATAACATGGTGGTGCCCGGCAGTCGGGCCGTGACGCCCAACTATGATGACGAGGGCGTCTATCAAGCGCACACGTGAGTGAAGCCACCAACCACCAAGCACCACACAACAGAAAACAGAAAACACCACCATGCACACAGGAGCGGAGTCCGCCCAGACACAGCCCAAATGTACAGACAGTCACTCGATCAAATCTCGTGCTCTCACCTCGCCTCACCTCGACGTTGTGTTGTTGCCTCTTACGCCACCAACAATTTTGTGTTTTGGCCATGGTGTACAGTAAAGCTCGCTCTGTCCATTACCCGAACCAACTCTAAACCTCTTGCAGACCAAGAACGTGTATATAAAACTCAGCTCAATGCAAAATACAAATGTAATTCTATCCATACCCGTGATTGTTGTCGTCGTTATCAGCAGCTCTGCTCATGTGCATTTTGCTTCATTTTGTATATAACTGGGACACGCCCATCCATCAGCATTAGCTGTGCGCTACTAACAACCCGAAATGCCCCCCAAAAACTTCTCTAAGGGCATTCCACCAGTTTTTGTATTATCTTGTTTTATTCCCCCAACTCAGTCTGTTCTCTTCCCCCTGTCGACATGTGACAGACGGACATTTCTCCCAGTCAAAAGTCAAGTTTCTCGACTCAACAATACGCTTTACATTATTTCTTATATGTGTTTCGTCTATTGTTCATTTTTTGTGTGTACTATTTCACTCTCTATCTCTCTTTCTGTTTCTCGTTTACAGTAAGAAAAGATCTTGAATTACGCCTGCAGTTCAGATTTTTCAATAATCTTCATAGAAAATCAACAAGAATTCAATAAAACCCCAAATAAAAAAATAAATAAAAAACAAAAATCAAAAAGCAACTAAACTAAACATTTTTAAAGCGTTTTGTAATTTAAAAATTAAAAAACCGTATAAAAAAAAACAAGTTTAATCTATGTAAATTAAACGTGTAAACAATATATAAAAATAAAAACAAAAAACTAAAGAAAGAAGCAGCAGCTGCAATGCTGGCATCTAAATACGTTAGAGAGACCAAGAAGTAAATAATAAATATATACATATATATATATACATACATACATACATACACACACATACTTATAATGCGCAGAACGAACCAGAGATACATAAAAATATGTAAATACAAATGTTGTATGCATATCGACGATACAAGCATATATAGAGAGAAGATATATTTGAAACTGATTTACGACAAAAGTCAAGGCATCTAACCCCAGCAACAAAATCTTTAGGCGTAATGTGTATAATTTTGTCTAATCTCTAACACAGGTATCTATGAACACGAATTCTACGAAAAACGTTTCTTTTTTAATAATTCATATATGCAAGCGTTGCGAACAAAACGCCTAACACCAAAAAGCATTCTCAAATTGAATGATGCCGCATATATATATAGTATATGCATATACCATATATTTAGTCGAAAATATGTAGTCAAAATTGGCCTTCAACAAATAATCATAACTCAAGACTGTTTAGCGTACTACTGATCTTTTTCTACTACCCAAAAGCATTGTTTGTTCATTTATTGTTAAATGCATCATGGCATATTTAAAGTTTAATCAAGTTATAACCTCCCCCCCATTGCATGTTGCCCTTCACCTGTGTTGCATGCCACACTCACACCTGACCCCCCACACAGGCATTACACCCTAAAACTCATCCCAAACCATCCGCTTTTACTAAACACATTCAGCTGTTGCTGTCAAATTTACAGAGCACTAATAAACTTCTCTTCGTATAGGAATTAAACTGCGATGTACAATGTTTAAGTAAAACTAAAATTTAAAACACCTCAATAAAAAATCAACAGCAACCACGAATAACTGCAATATCAAGTAAATAAATATTAAAATCAAATGAATATCATAATAAATTCGCAAGAACTGCTACATTAAATGCCGAACATCCAAATGTTTATGCTCTTTTTATAATTCAACAAACTTTACAACAACAAAAGCAGCAGCAAATGAACAACAACAACACAAAGAACAGTTGGTACCCAAAATTTTTACTCAGCTCTTTGTTGTTTGTGCCACAAAAATAAACAATAATTATAAAATACAATTGCCAAAAGCGTTAACATAAGCAACATTAACATATAAGCCCAACTAATAAATATCCCACCGCAGCTGCAAGTTCTGCTTAAACCAGCCCCCAGAATAAAACTAGTTCTTAAGAGACGTTGCTCAAACTTTTCCTGACTTGCGAGCAGTTTTTTATGCCGACTACTAAACCAAAAATCTGCTCATTAGGCGTACTTTACGCCTAGCCTTGAATGTTGTATCCAAATGATTGATTGATTGATTGAATATTTGACAATTTGTTGTGTATTTTGATTAACCTGCCCAAAAATAATAATAATACCCTTTGTTTATTGTTACAATTTGACTAATCACATTGTATTTGTCTCTTCTCTCTCTCCCCGATCTTTCCTCTATCTTTCTTTTTATGTCTTACAGTACGTGTGAATCGCCTCAATCAGCGTAAATAAAAAGACAAACCAACCAACCAACCAACCAACCAACAACAACAGCAACAACAACCTTTGTTTGTGTGTTAGCGCGTGTGTGTGTCTTTGTTTTTACTGTCCAACTATGTACTAATTAACAAGAACCAGCACCACCAACAACAACATCAACAACATCAACAACAACAACAACACCATCTGATGCAACTACAACAAGAGCAACTGCAACAAGTATTCTCTGTGTTCAGCTCAACAACAAGTACAACAACAACAACAACAACAATCATCTTGTGATTTTCCCCTCCTCCTGTTGACTGTTAAACACCGACCTCTGTGTAACCGCAACAACAACAACAGCAAGAACAAGCACAATACCACCCAAACGACCCACACCCAACAACCAGCCGCAAAACTAACACCGAAGAATGATGTTAACATGCAGTACGTAAAGTATCTGATAGATATAGTATAACGCATATGTATCTTTAAGTTAATCTAGCGCCGAGGGCGTCAATTCTAACGCGTGCATAGCCCATAAGTAGCTTAGCAAATATTTATGTCACAGCTTGGCTGGCCTTAAGTCAATCGTAAGCAACATTTTCAATTAATATTAGCTCAATGTTGACACTTGATATCAGCCGCAAGTGTATCGTGCGTCATGCTTCGTTTTATTTTTAAATATTGTATATACATATATATTTTTAACCACTCTTCTGATCCGCTGTTGGTGTTACGTCTCTTAACACGCCTCAATTGAATTGAATTTTACCAATTATTTATTTTCAACTATATTTTTGCAGTTGGTCGCCAGCGTCGCATGGGTCATCTGACCAGGAACTATACCATTGGTGCTTGGCCGTAGGCACCGAGACTTTTTGGCATCGTCTATCATATACTCAAATATCTACACATGATATACATGCTTATATGAACCACATATAGTTAATATATATATCATACTTGTTGTTGTTGTTTTACAAAAGTTGTGCTACTCATTGGTCGCTCAATTCTTTTGTTTCAATGTTTGTTGCGTTCTATATAATTTAATTATAATTATTATTATTTTTTGGGCCAGATATGGGCCTTGTGTTCGTTTATCATATAAACCTAATCATTTGTTTGTTATTTGAGTAATGCGATTGTTTGTTGTCAAACACACACACACACACACACGTATATATGTACATCTACACACACAAGCAAATTTAAATTAATTTTATCTAGAAATTGACATTGTTAAAAATTTACAATTACCAAATCGAAGCAGCTTAATTGATTATCGAGTTGTCACCTTAAAAAAAAAAGAAAATGTTTTCCTTAAACAATTGTCAATTTTGGATTGTTCAGATTTTTACGCTGCCGCTTCACACGCGCCCCCTTTTTTCAAATTGTAATTTTAAAACTACTTTTTTGTTGTTGTTTATATTCGGTTAAATTCAAAATTTAATTTGTTTTACTTCGCTTAGTTTTTAAAGAGTGCACATGGAAAGTGCTTGAGCTTATATTTACATGCATACACATACATATATAATACTTATATATACATATATATAAATAAATATATATATATATTCATATTCATATATGATACATATACATATAGCCATGGTCTCTGAAACAATTTACTGCTATTGAATTATAAAATTGCTTAAACATAATATTACAACCTATGTTTAACTACGCATATAAACAAACGGATACAGTTGTATATTGTAATGATATATCATACTTTATATGATCTAATGCGATGCTTTTAAAAATCATGTAAAAAATTTTAAAATTAAATAAACCAAAAAAAAAAAAATAAAAAAAATTTACAAAAATTATGTCAAATGCGTATTTGGTTTCCGAAATTGTCGAGATTTCACTGCTTCCGATTAATGTAAATATTGCTCCAAGAAATAATAGTTAATATGTGATAATTTGCGCGGCCAATTTGTCGTTAAGAACCGTCTCAAATTGATTAATGGAAAAATTTAAAGCGACGGGGACAGCTGTGCCAGTTGACATGCCCAACAATACCAGGCCAAACAAGAGACGCGTAGTCAGCAGCAAGTCGTGTGGCCGAAACAAACAACCGGCGTCCCGTTTCCACATATAGCGACTGGACAAACATTGGCAGCTTCGATAAGATTGCGTGTCAGCCGCACAGCATCCGGCGCCAGCTCTCAGTTAGTTGCCGTACGGCGAAGCTAACAGCAAGAGATACCGGAATTAGGCAAAGGCATATGCACAATGTCCACACTTGAGACGGAGGTGACATTTCGTAAGCGCGCGGAAGTGAGTCAGGAACTGGAGGCACAGTTTCGTAGTTCCTCCACGGATTTCATACTGATCCCAGATCATCGCACCTCCAAGAGCAAAAGCCTCGAGCAACTGGAGGCGGTCAAGCAGGACAATGAAACAATAGCCTCGTGTTGCATGAGCTATGCGAGGAGTGCGTGTCGCATGAAGACGCTAAAGAAGCGCCTGCCCATAATTGAATGGCTGCCCAAGTACAACAGGACCGATGCCGTCGGTGATCTTATAGCCGGATTTACAGTGGGGCTAACGGTCATACCGCAGGGCTTGGCCTACTCGGGCGTGGTGGGCTTGCCTGCAGAGTCGGGTCTCTATGGCTCCTTCTTGGGCTGTTTTGTATACGTTCTGCTGGGCACCTGCAAGGATAACACCATTGGCAGCACCGCCGTCGCCTCGCTGATGACATATCAGTTCGCACAGGGCTCCTGGGCACATTCGGTGCTGCTCACTTTTCTCACCGGCATTATAGAGATTCTTATGGCCATCTTTAAGCTGGGCTGCCTAGTGGAGTTTGTCTCGGGCCCGGTGAGCGCGGGCTTCACCAGTGCCGTATCCCTAATAGTGCTCACCTCGCAGATGAAGTACATTTTGGGTGTGAACGGTGAGGGCGGCTCGTTTCTACAGAGCTGGATCAGCATGTTCCGCGACATTGAAAACTTGCGCATTTGGGACAGCTGCCTGGGCTTTGGCTGCTTGCTGCTCTTGCTGGCCATACGCAGCCTAAGCCAGCTACGCCTGGGCCCCAAGGAGAAGTCCGAGCGTAGTCAGCTGCAGCGTTTGCTCAACGAGGTGATCAAATTTGTCGGTGTCACCCGAAATGCCACGGTTGTCATTGGCGCCACCTTGGTGGCCATGCATCTGGAGGCAAACGGCATGAATCCGTTCCGGCTGACAGGCTACATACCGCCTGGTCTGCCCACATTGTCGTGGCCAAACTTTACGATCGAGGCGCAGCCGGGCAATGCCACAGCTGGCATACCCGCAGTTCCAGGCGAAACCTTCTTCGAAATGGTGCACAGTCTCGGCTACGGCCTGGTCATAGTGCCGATCATAGCTCTGCTGGAGAACGTGTCCGTCTGCAAGGCATTTGCCAAGGACAGGCAAATCGATGTCAGCCAGGAATTGTTTGCCACCGGCGTGGCCAACGTCGCCACCTCCCTGGTGAGCGGCTATCGCAGCAACGGCGGCCTGGCCCGTTCCGCAGTCAACAATGCCAGCGGCTGTCGCACCAATATGTCCAATCTATATATTGGCATCATCGTGGTGCTATCGATAAGTTACCTCACCGAGTACTTTTACTTCATTCCGAAGGCTGTGCTGGCTGCCATCATCATATCGGCCGTAGTCTTCCAGGTGCAATACCAGATCGTAGTGCCCATTTGGCGCAGCAAACGTAAGTTGATTGCTTCATCGCCGCCAAGATTTTATCTGGAATATCCACATTTACAGGCGCTGATCTTGTGCCTGGTCTGCTGGCGTTCATCACCTGCCTGGTGCTTCCCCTGGAGATAGGTATCGTTGTGGCCATTGGAGCTAATCAGCTCCTTATACTCTACCATGCGGCACGGCCCAGGATAACGCTGGAGCAGCTGGAGACGGAGCATGGCATTAAGTTTATAAAGATCACGCCAGATCGCTGCCTAATATTTCCCTCAGTGGAGTTCGTTAGGAACATGGTGCTCAAGTCCGGCAGCAAGACAACGCTGCCCATTGTCATCGACTGTACGTACATTTATGCAGCCGACTTCACTGCCGCCAAAGTAATCTCCTCCTTGGTGGAAGATTTTCAACAGCGTCAGCAAAAAATTATTTTCTTTAATCTCAAGCCGAGTGTGGTTAGCATTTTCGAGGGTCTGAAGACCAAGCTCAACCTCTGCTACAATACCCACGCTCTTAGCCTGGAACTCTTGCCAAGTGCAGCTGATAATCTGTCGAATTCGGTGGACTCACTGGAAGCAGGCAATTGTGCAGGCGATTGTGGGAGCATGACAAGCACCAGTACTCTATCCCTGGCAAGACTCTAGCCAACATAGGTAGAACCAACTAACCAGCTACTAATTAGCTTTATTATGGTGCAAAAGTAGTTCATTTATATAATAAAAAATAATTCAAATATTCAAACCTAGCTACTTATTGTTGTTGATTGATGATCAACGCAGAACAACGCAGCCGTAAGAACTAGAAGCTTGAATTTTAGGGAAGATTTCACCTGCGAATGTGGAAAATTTGTGGAATACAGTTGTGTGAATCCATGTTATTCACTATCCGCCCAGTTTTAAATTCGATCAGGAGTGCGGAAAATGCATGGAAGTGATGTTTAAAATTTTATGTTAAAAGCTAAGTCCAGACAAAGCTAGGGTAAAATATTTGCTTAACCTTTTTTATATATTATTTTTATTACGCAATTTTATACCCTGAACCCATTAAAACTGGGTAAAAAGGGTATTATGTATTTGTGCAAATGTATGTAACAGGCAGTAGGAAGCATCTCCGACCCCATAAAGTATATATATTCTTGATCAGCATCAATAGCCGAGTCGATCTAGCCATGTCCGTCTGTCTGTCCGTCCGTCCATCCAGTGAAAATTTCAGCTTCCTAGTTCTTACGGGTTCTGTGTTGATCACCAATCAGTCAGTCAGGACAAACATTTTTATATATAGAAATTGAACAGTTTGCACCATGTTCATATATTAAGATATTACGTGAATATATTTGAATACTTCTTGACTCTTGCGCGGCGTATCCATCTATTCACTCAAGGAGCAGCTTAACAAGAAGATATATTGAGCAAAATGAAAAAAAGAAATTTATTCAAAAATATATTAACAAGGAGAACTTTGAATATGATTGTAATTACTGATGCCTATGCTGATGCAGTTTGAAGCGTATTTCGGCCATGCGGCGTTCCCGGGACGCGCGCTGTTTGGCTTCCTGGGCGGCGCCTGCGGCACGCTCAGCCGCCTTTTGGGTATTCTTGAAATCGGTTCGTGCTCCGTCGAGCTGTCGGAGGAGCAGCTCAACGCGCTTTTTGGCGGCCTCGACTAGCTGCTGTTTCTCGATGAGCTCCTGCTGGGCACCGTTGGCAGCCTGTTCCGAGTTGAGCACATTGGCCTGGGCGTTCTTGACGGCATCGCCCAAGGACTTCACCTGTAAGCCAGCTTGCTTCGCCGCCTGTGTGGCTGCGTTGCAGTTGCCCTGCGATGCTTGCAGGGAGCCGGACTCCTCCTGGACGACGAGCTCACCTTCACGCACCTCCGATTCCAGTTGTTCAACGATTTGCTTTTTGCCCGCCAGAGCAGCCTCTGCGGCATTTGCTGCGGCCAGCGCCTTGCCTGCAAGCTGCATCTTTACCTGGTGAGCAGCATTTTCCGCGGCCGGTAGCTGAGCATCAGATGCAGCCTTCGCTTCTTGTGCTGCCTTCATTGCAATGCAGGAGGCCTTTTGTTTCGGGACCGAATTAATGGGTACTTGTACATCTCTACCCTCTTTCTTACAATCTTCCATGCCCTCATTTTGCCCATCATCGTAATGTAAGCTGGATAAGCCTATGGATCGCTTCTGGGACTGAAATGCATTCATTTATCATATTATCAGCGGCCTCGCAAATATTTGTCAACCACTTACCTTACCCGTCTTGTAGCCAAGAGCTTGGGTCCATGACAGAGTGAAGAGCAACAGGATTAGAAGCAGTGCAGCCTTAGCAGTCATTCTGTACAGTTTCTGATGCCTTTTCTGATTACAGCTGAGAATAAATTCTTTTTAAATAATCAATGCTGACAGCTGGCTTGGAGAATTTTGTAAGATGCCAAATTTCCAATGCGTTGCGAGCCTCTGGTGTTGATCTTCACAATGAGCATCGTACTGGTGATCGGAGCACAGCCCGCGTGCAATCGCAAAGCGTCTCACCATATGAAGAAATGTCATAAGCAGGGCGGGGATCCGGAATACTGTAAGATCAACTTGAAATCAACAAAAATTGCCTCCAATGCAGCAAATGAGGCTAAGGCGGCCAAGGATGCACAAGGCTGCGCCAGTGAGGAGGCCAGTCAGCGAGCCATGAATCGATTGGCCGATAAGGCTGAGCAGGCCGCTCGAGCGGCTGAGGCTGAACTGAATGGCAAGAAGCAGTTGCTCGAACAGCTGGAAAAGAGTCAGCTCGAGGCCGATGCCGTCTTGGACGAGGTCAAAAAGGCGCTGGGACATAGCAAATCCAACATAGAGACAGCTTTGCGGGTGGCCCAACACATCAAACAGCATCTGGAGCTAATGCAGAACGTCCTAGAAGAAGCAAGAAATAATTTAGAGAAAGTTCTGGAAGTTGCAGCTAATGCCAACACCGAGCTACAGGAAAAGCAATTGCTGATTATAGACAGCAAAAAGCGGGTAGACGAATTAAACAATTGCATGCAAAAAGCCAGAGCTGATCTTGATCGGACCGAAGAAATGGCTAAGAAGGCAGAGAATGCGGCCGAAGAGGCCAAACAACGTATAGAAAACGTACGAAATATATTTAAAAAGATAAAAAAACTAAAAAGAAAAGACCTTAAATCATTTAAACGGGTTTTCAACCGATTTATCAAGATATAATATTTTGTATATTCCGTTCAAGTTAAAAATAAATTGTGTTCATATATTTTCTTTACATTTCTACGAGTAATATAACTGCAGAAATGAGATAAAGCGAAGTCACAAATATTAGCACAAAGTCGCGTCAAAAATTAAATTGAACAAATTAAGCTCGCAATGAAAGGCGCTGCCTTATCAAAGCAAAATAAATTCTCACTATCTTATTGACAACTCTAGAAGTGTGGATTTCACCGCTATCGATATATCGACGCTTCGCTATCGATAGTTGAGTTTGTTTCAATTTTCCATCCCCAAGCCGCATGAAAGTTATAGAAAAAATATTTAGAAAATTCGCGTTGCTCTTGGTAAAACTATTATTGTGAATTCTTAAGTCAAGCACAAGTTAAAAATGGCGCGCAAGAATGCACAGGCCGAGGATCTCTCGAACGTTGAGTTTGAGACCAGCGAAGATGTTGAGGTGATACCCACCTTCAATGCCATGAACCTCAAGGAGGAGCTGCTACGCGGCATTTATGCGTACGGTGAGTGCTTGTGTGTGTATGCATCACGAAGATCTCGTTAGTAATAGTATATAATCCACGTAGGCTTTGAAAAACCCTCGGCCATACAACAGCGCAGCATCAAGCCAATTGTGAAGGGGCGGGACGTCATAGCCCAAGCGCAGTCCGGTACGGGCAAGACTGCCACATTTTCCATTTCCATACTACAGAGCCTGGACACAACGCTGCGTGAGACACAGGTGCTGTGTCTGTCACCCACACGCGAGTTGGCTGTCCAAATCCAAAAGGTCATTCTTGCTCTGGGCGACATGATGAATGTACAGTGTCATGTGTGCATTGGCGGTACAAATCTGGGTGAGGACATACGCAAGCTGGATTACGGTCAGCATATTGTGAGTGGAACACCGGGTCGTGTCTTCGATATGATCAAGCGGCGTGTTCTGCGCACAAGGTAAGTTTTATTCCTTTTATTTGATGACTTACCACATACATATCTAACATATGTAAATCCCGTAGAGCGATCAAAATGCTGGTGCTGGATGAAGCAGATGAGATGTTGAACAAAGGTTTCAAGGAACAAATCTATGATGTTTACCGGTATTTGCCGCCAGCCACGCAGGTTGTACTCATTTCTGCTACCCTGCCGCATGAGATTCTGGAAATGACATCTAAATTCATGACGGATCCTATTCGAATTTTGGTCAAACGGTAAAAAGAGAATATTTAAAAGTATTCGTAGCTTACTTTAAACCCATTTCCATTGCAGTGATGAATTGACGCTGGAAGGCATTAAACAATTTTTTGTTGCCGTTGAGCGCGAGGAATGGAAATTCGATACGCTATGCGATCTCTATGACACACTGACCATCACACAGGCGGTCATTTTCTGCAACACCAAGCGCAAGGTGGACTGGCTGACTGAGAAAATGCGCGAGGCCAACTTCACGGTCAGCTCCATGCACGGCGATATGCCGCAAAAAGAGCGTGACGAAATCATGAAAGAGTTCCGAGCTGGACAGTCGCGTGTCCTCATTACCACTGATGTGTGGGCGCGTGGCATAGACGTGCAGCAGGTGTCCTTAGTCATCAACTACGACCTACCCAACAATCGTGAGCTGTACATTCATCGCATCGGTCGCTCGGGTCGTTTTGGACGCAAGGGTGTGGCCATTAACTTTGTAAAGTCGGATGATATACGCATTTTGCGTGACATTGAGCAATATTATTCAACGCAAATCGACGAGATGCCGATGAATGTGGCAGATTTAATATAATTTTCATTTCTACTAACTAGTTTATTTCACTTATGTACAACTTCAACCAATTTCTCTTAGCTGAAAAGAATACATATGAAGAGTATTTGTCTTACAACACACAAACGTCATAATCTGTATTTGTAATTAAAACTAACGATTAAGCATTAATACAGAAACCAGTTTGTTTGCAAAGATTGAAGGTCGCTAAGTCTGAAAGCGTGCAAAGATGAAACGTTCTTTGACTTTTCCCGAGGCATTTTTAATATTGTCACAACAATCTGCATTGAATACCATTAAAATTACTAATAAAAAATAAAACCATATACAATAATTAAACTATTTAGCTAACTACAGACTTTGGTCTAGTGCGAAAAGAAAGCGCAAATGTTGCATGAAAATTAAATTAACATCACAACCATAAAACATTTCAGCTTATTACGTCTGGCTGTGATTGCGGTAAGGGTACATATGCGGGAGGAGTTACGGGTGCCATCGATGCTTTGCGCTGTCTTTTGTTATCTTCCGATTTCAGCAGAGTGCCCAGCACAATGCCCAGAAACAGAATGAGGCCCACTTGATGATTCGAAAGGAATTTCTTGGCGCAGTCACTGGGATTGTCTATGTTGAGTGAGTAGATCTGTAAAATAGCGAGAGTTTAATCGAAAGTCAATGTATTTACTCCATAGAAGGCTCACCTGCTGCACTAAATGTGCTCCAACGACCCCAACTGCGGCATAGTAGGGCAGTGTCTGATCACAGGCATAGCCGGCAGCCGACAAGCCCGCCAGCATAGCAGCCGTAAAACCCGAAAGCCAAGCTTTTGTGTTCTCTCCAAAACGTAGCGCTGTGGACTTCACTCCAATTTGCAAATCATCGAGCTTGTCCTGGTGCGCATAGATGGTATCATAGACAATGGTCCAGCAAACACCAGACAGGTACAATGGCAGGCAGGCATCCAGATTAACGCTACCTTGGGTAGCACACCAGCCCAGCAGGGCACCCCAGTTGAAGCACATGCCGAGCACAAGTTGCGGCCAGTAGGTGACACGCTTCATCAGCGGATACGTAATGACTAAGCCCAGCGAACTGGCGCCCAGCAATATGGATTGCCAATTGAGCTGCACAAGCACCAGCAAGCCAAGGCTAAGCTGCGCCGAGAGAAACACAATCGCATCGAGTTGGGTGATTTGCCCAGAAGCTAGCGGACGTGTGCGCGTCCTCTCCACCTTAGCATCGATGTCTTTGTCCCACATATCGTTTATGGTGCAACCGGCGCCGCGCATGATCAATGCTCCCGTGGCAAACAGACCCAGCATGGTAAAGTCCGGCCAGCAGCCGGCATCAGCGCTTAACGCAATGCTCCAGCCGCAGGGCCAAAAGAGTAGGTACGTCCCAATAGGCCGATCAATGCGCATCAGCTGTGCGTATGGCTTAGTGGCGGCTGCCAATTCCTGTAGAAGCGATGACTTGTGCGGCGCCTTGCTTTCCGGGCTTGACGACTCTGACAGTGTTGTCGTAGTTCTTTGATACAGCCTCCAGCTAGCCATGTGTTCCTGAAGCATCAGCAGTCTCTGCTTGCGGTAGTCACTGGCGTGTGTGTGCAGCCCAATGTAGGCACGCGCCGGCACAGCTGGCATGTGTTTTACAGTAGTTGTTGTTGCTGCTGCTGCTGTGTATGGCAAATGCATTTTAGCCCTACTCTGTAGTCGCAAATGTCGTAACGCAAACATATTAATGCTGTGCTTGGTGGGTTTCTTATTGGAATATCGTACACATTGATATATACAGTCAGAATCTACTACAGAACCACTCTGTATGGTAAATTTGGCAAGAACTTCTTTCTCTAGGCTTGGGCTTTGCATAGGGGTATTAAGATATCGTATCGATATATCGTCATTTGAAATTAATTTATGTACGATATGAACAATACTGACGTTATCGATATCATGATCATACATTTATGCCAGCAAATACATATTTTGAAAAAATTTTAGCAAATATCGGTATCGCTGTTTAAGTATCAAATTAAAATATCGTTTACATAATATTGCATACGATATTCTAGAAAATATCCCTACTTTTGCATAAGCAACTACGTTGCCACATTGCTGCTTGCTTTTTGAATGCTGCCACATCATTGAATGAAAAACGTTTTACATTTGTATGGTAAGGCTAAAAAAAAGATTTCAAATCACGCGCTCTAAGCAGATTATGATGGACGTTCTCAAATTTGAATACTAGAGATGTTGATAATTTTTATTAAATGATACTTATTGACTAATTTTATATTTCAATAGTATTTTATTCCAAAAGATTTCATAGCGCAGCCTTAAAAACGGGGGTGCAAATATAGTAACTATGCATTTTAAGCTTATAGGGCATTCAAAAGGATAATTGTAATGTCTAAACAATTTTAATTTGTAGAAGATCTAATTTTCGAGTACTTATCTTTCAGTATCTTTAAGTTTTAGCATATAATCATAGATTTTGAATTTGTATACATGTCTCAAAGTAACAGGAAGTTTTTTAGTGTTATTAGACAACTAAGTAAATCTTTAGAAATTTAACCAATTCATTTAAGCTACGGCACGAAAACAAATTCTCATTACAGAAGTCGACAATTATAGTTAATCTCATGTTTATTATAGCTTTTTTTATAACATTGGCCTATGTAGGTAAAATTATGAAATACAAACTATGTTGAGAATCCAGGAGGTGTGAACTTCTATCAGAATAAAACATAAAAAGATGAAAAGTATTTTTAAGCAAATGTGACCCATGTGATCAATTGAAGTAATACATGTTAATTTTAATCAAAAAATTGTATACCACTGGGCTGAATGTCTATGCACTTTGAATGTTTAATGAATGCATTATATTTAAAAGGAATAGTCTGTTCTAGTGCATACAAATGTTGTTGAAGCTTTGGGAGTTTTGGCCAACAGCTTTTACCAATTAACTATTCAATAACCCAACCATTTAGACCAAGTCAATATCGTTTACCGTTTATTTTGCACGCGCCACCAATCTTTCGAAATCTGCGCACGGCAACTAAGAATAACCGTAACTTTTGCACACGGCCGTAGAGTTTTTGCGCACGGCCATTATTCAAACGCAATTCTGCACCAGTTAGAAACAAAACATTAGCAAAGCCAAGTGGGCCTAATGCAGACATCGAGCAAATTCGCTCGCCGACGGTTGCTATCGCTCAAGAAATATGCACATTCATACATGGGAACATACTTGGCTGCGCACAATAAAATAAATACTTTGGCCAATTACCAATAATCTTAATTACCGCAAAAATACGATGGCCCTCTTACGAACTTCAGCAAATCCATAAATCAATATTGAAATAGAATTTCCTCAAGACAAAATCCAAATTTATTGATCTACCAAGTATCCAAGCCAGATCACGGCCAGCTACACGGCATGCAGATCTGCAACTGATAAATAGATGGGCTATCATTAACATTTATTTGGGTTGCCATCTCACTTGCTTTCTCTCTCTCTCTCTCGCTCTCTCTCTCCCGCACACCTGTCGCTGTGTCTGTTAGTCAATGGTGTCAACATCGTTGGGCTCTCCTCGCATGCGCGCTATCGATGATATCGCCGCCTGCACTCCGCGCGTGCTGATAACACATATTTCTCAGAGATAAGCGCACCGGCTATCGCCTTGGCGGGATTAGTGTCAGGTTTTCTTTAAAAAACAGCATACGTTCGTTTGTCCCGAGCAGTCAACGTTTCGCTCTCAGCAGTTAAGCAAGTGTCAACACGCTGTTATCACTGGCTCTGGCTCTTAACGTTCGTGTTCACTTTGCGGCTTATTGAATTATATATCTAAAATCCAATTACAATGGACTTGATGACCATGGACCATGATGATCATGGAGATGAATCTGTTACCGCTGCCAAATCTTGCCCAATGATCATGGTGGTAAGTTTCATACTAAAGCATCACTCCATTGCACTCACTGCAGCTGCAGCTTTTCATGGCAACAACAAATCTAGGGGTTTGGCGTATATACTTACATATATTCGTCTGCTTTCGAATTTATTTGCTGTAGCTGTAACAAATGTCGCTCTCCTTTGCATTCAGCAGCGAGTGCCGAGATTTAATTTAATTTCATTCGCATTCACCAGATTACACTCAGAGCACATCTCTCACACTCTCTGCGCAGGTACAAATACATGCAAACAATTGTTTGGCTGTGATGCTCTCACTCTCAATATCGCCCCAACATCGCGTTACGCTCAACTCGAATAGTACACTCGAATAGTGAGCTTTGTTGAGCAAGACACAGATATTAAGAAATACCGGGTGCTCTGGCGATAAGAATGCATGTAGTAATCTGTTAGCTATCATGTATAATCTAATTTACCTGTGTCACCCTGTGATCAATTTGTTGTCCATCATAGAATTGTGCTCAATATTTATGTCTCTTCCTCTCTCTCAACAGTTCCATGGCGGTCACTGTGAGCGAATTTTGTGGCGTGGATGGGTGGCAGCAACAGTTACCGAGTTCGCCTTCTCCTGCATTGCATTTTTCGTGTTCTCTTTTCTCTACGAGCTGCTCAAGTTTCTGCGTGAGCAACTGATTCGACGGGAAATACGCAGGGAGGCTGAACTGGCCGCTGAGCTGCGTCAGAAGAACACTGTAAACGACTGCGGAGGCGGCTGCTCGGAAACGCCACTGGCCGAAATCAGAGAGAAGACATATTGGCAACGCATTTTCAACACGCCGCACATACTCCAATCTCTGTTGAATCTGGTGCAAATTATCATTTCCTATCTGCTCATGTTGGTCTTCATGAACTACAACTATTGGCTGTGCTTGTCCGTGGTTTTGGGTCTGGGCGTGGGTTACTTTTTCTTTGGTTGGATCAAGAAGGATCCGCAAGAGAGCGAGTGTTGCCCTTGAACAAACTATAATAGGCCAAGGCTCACATAATTATTTACAACACAATATGTATGTATAAAATTTAAAATAAGCCTGCAACAAGTATTTTTTTGTTTTTTTTTTTTGTTTCTTGTGTTTTTTTTAAGTTTGATTGAAGTACCACGCCTTCAGTCCGAGCATGTTTCTTGTCAGCCCTCTTTACCGCATAGTTATTATAAATTTGGCATTAATAATTTGCTAAAAAAAAAAACCAATTTTATTTTTAAAATTTCGTTTTGAGTTTTATGGCATAAATTAGTCAACTAGTATTTACTTAAAGAGCATAATGTACAAATAATTATGAGAACAAGAACCTAGGTTTAATAAAGTTTTTACATTTTATAACACAACTCAATACTTTATTTTTGTTTTAACAATTAAAAAGTTGCCTATAAATGTAAAAAAAAAATGTAAAGAAAATCTCCAAAATTACATCAAATTCGTTTAAGCAGAGAGCTCCGTAGCGCCACCCGTACTACACTTGCCTAGTATTTTAAAATCATTTAGACCCTTTGCCCAATGTCTAACTAAAACTTCCGACTGAACCCTATTAATCAATTTTTATATGCGAGTTGTTAGTGCTATGGGCGTACGGACCTTAGAGTAAGCCTAACACTATTTTCGTATATGTATCATATATGATTATGAATATATATATAGATAGATATATCGTAGTTAAACCCTTCACACAAGCCTGACTAACAATTCGAGCTGCAGTTACTTACAATTGGACGCGATTCGAAACCCGTCCAACTTACATCAACCGGTCCAGGAGGAACTGGGAGCCGTTGCGCCGTCGCCTCATAAGCCGGTTGCCCCGGCCGTCATCATGCCTCCGTGGTGGTGGTGATGATGCATGCCGCCATTTTGAAAGTACATGTAGTAGTTGTAGGGCGGCTGTTGTGCCGCTCCGCCCTCGCAGTCCAGCAGCGGCTGTCCGCCGGTTGCGGCGGTCACCGGCGACGGAGTCATCGGCAGCGGAGAGACTGTGTTGCCCTGGCAGCTGGCGCGCAGGGCAACGGCCTGGTGATGCGCCAGTATGTCGGTCACGGAGTGCGACGAGGGCCAGTGGGCGGCGGCCACGCTGCGCAGCTGATGCGTCTGCGCCGACTGCGGCGGCGAGGGACTGCCGCAGGAGACGGCCTTCATGCTATAGGCAGCCGCCGCGGTATACGGCTGGTAGATGGAATTGTAGAGATGGGCGTGGGCGTGCGCATGATGTGCACTGGCCGCCACCGCGGCTGCCGTGTGCTGGTGATGATAATGATGCTGGTGCGCGGAGTGTGTGTGCTGTACGGCGCCGGCATTGGCTGCATTATTGTTGCCGCCGGTGCTGTTGCTGCCGTTGCTGCCCATGCCCAATGATGCGGACCCATTGTTACCGGCACTATGATGATGGCCAATGCTGCCCAGCTTGTTGCGCAGTATGCGTGAAATGGAGCTCACGCTGGGCACATTCGTCTTGTCGCATATGCCCTCGCTGAGCAGGCGATCGCGTATCTCCCAGGCAAAGATCCCCGGATCGCGCTGTTTCAGCTCCCGTATATAGTTGACCACCTTGGGTGTGGTGACACGCGGCTTGGAGCCACCAATGGCGCCCGGCAGTATGGAGCCCGTCTCGTGGTAGCGCGCCAATATCTTCGAAACACAGCCGTGACTCACGCGCAGCTGGCGCGAGATGTCGCAGGGTCTGATGCCCAGCCGGGCCAGCTCCACGATGCGCATGCGCGTCGCATTCGGCAGCGGCCGGCCGTTCACAAAGACGCCGCCCAGCTGATTCACTTCGCCGTACTGCGGGCACTGCGACTCTGAAAGGAGATCAAGCAGAGAGCACTATATAAATATGTGTGTGTGTGGGTGAGCATAGAAAAAGCAACAACAAGAGCTAACGAGAGGGCGAACAAAAGCACATTTGCGTCTAATTAGCTCCGGTTGGGAAGCCGGGAGCGGATTGGGGTCTATGGACCTCTGGTTCGCCTGAAAATCGCTACGCTTTGCTTCCCAGAACTGCGGATGTGGGTGTGTGTCCATGTGTGTGTGTGTGTCCATGTGTGTGTGTGTGCGAATCATGCTAAAGATTGTGGCATAGAAAGAAAAAAGCTATATAAATGCGCCGAACGTGCGGAAATGCATTTTGTATGTCGACGCAATGATTAGCCGGAGCCGGAGCTGTCCCAACAGTACGGTCTTTACCTAACTGAACGATCTATCGAAAGGCCTGTGAATTACTTAACATATTTCAATTAACAATCAAATCAAGTATTATTTTATGATTTTTTTTAATCTGGGCAAACTTATGATTCAATATGACTTTATTTAAAATAAGTATAATTAGTTCTATATTTCATTTCGATTTAATTTCAAATTAAAAGCAGACAAAATATTGTATATTTAATGTTCATTTATTTTTTTTTATAAATGTTTATTTATTAAACAATAAACTATATTTCTATATTTAATTTAAAATGAATTTCAAATTAAAATATTGTATATTTTATCTTTTTTTAATTTTTTTTTATAAATGTTTATTTATTAAACAATAAAATATATTTTATGTATTTTTGTATGTTTGCATAAATTAAATTTTCATTGTGAAGTTATTTTAATGTCAAGTTTTGGACAGTAAAAAAAGAATTCGAAATTTTAAATATTTATATGAAAATGGTTTATATAGCAAAGGTTCTCTATTGGATGGAGCACCTGCTCCTCTGCCCCGAGGCCGGTGCCAACTTATTACAGTCACTTAGGAAAATTCGCACATCTGCGTCGTCCAATTTAAAATCATGTAGTTAGCCTCAGGTTACACAGCAACAGCAGAACAAGAAGTACAACTTTAACTAAGAACACGTACAGGGCCAGCAAAGTGCCCCAAAGAGCGCCATAAAAATCACAATAGGGCTGCCGAGTTACACGCGCCGCAAGTGCAACTGCAACTGCAGCAAGTGCCAAGAACTCGGAAGAAGGAGCCCGAACAAAGGCCAAGGAATTGGAGAATAGAGCGGGATAGAGCAGATGGAGCCGTCCGAGGAACTAACAAGCAAGTGTATCGACCTCGATTGGTTTTCATTCATAACTGAAATATTCTAGCTGGTAGTTTAACGAGGCGCTCCCCATTGCCATAATTAAAATAATGTGTGTGTGCGAGTGTGTGTGTGTGTGTGTGTGTGTGCTGGACTGTTGCAGAGTCTCGTGTTACAGTCCAAATTGGAAACCCTTCAGACACTTGTTGCCCCAACTGAAGCGGCATCAACAGCAACAACAGCAGCAACAGACTGCATCGAATTTCGTGTACTTTATGGTTATGCATTTGCGCATTTGTCAATTGCACTTCGATCAGTTTTGTTTTTAATACGGAGCTGGGGCCATTCGCCAGACAAATGGGCCAAGCGAAACGTGCAGCTGCATAAATAAACTAGCCACTGCTCCCAACAAAGTTGATTCTCATTGGGAATACTAGCTCTAGCGTATGGCTCAGATACAGCCTCAGATACAGATACAGATATGCTTGGATCTGTAACCGAGTTGAGCTCGTGTAAAAAAGCCCACATAATTCTAATTGTTGCATCATAAAAGCATTTACTATTTGCATTTAGTGTGTTCCAAGCACGTTACAAAAAACAGGCATCTATAAAAGCCGATGTCTCGGCCAGCTCGCATCTCAGTTAGAGTCAAGATGCCTTTTGGAACTAAACATATTATTTTGCTTTATATAGTCCTGGCGCTGAAGTCTCAGGCAGCGCATGCCAATCCTGCCGAGGAACGTGCAGCAAGAACGGTAATTTTTATATCTTGACTGAGATTCGCGACTAAGTCAATTCGCTTTGCAGAAAAACGATGTGTATGACTGGATCTCAGGCATATTCGGGGACTACGACAGCGACGAGAGCGATTCGAAGGAGTATTGTATGACTTGGGTGACATTGTGCTTGGTCTCTATATAAACATGGCCTATCTTTACAGTAATCTGTCGAAACTGTACGGTAATTGTGGGCCAGGCGAATGCCACAGGTACAACAGCCGCTGCCGCAACGGTTGCACCCATGCCAGCACCTCCCGCAGCTGTTGTACCTATACCAGCTGCGGCTCCTACGCCATCTGCCGCTCAAACTCCACCTCAAGGTGCAGCCCCGGCGCCAGCTCCAGCCCCGGCGCCAGCTCCAGCCCCGGCTCCAGCTCCAGCTACAGCTCCAGCTCCAGCCCCGCCTCCAGCTTCAGATGCAACTCCAGCTCCAGCTGCAGCTCCAGATGCAGCCGCAGCCCCAGCTCCAGCCTCAACTGATGGTTAACTAACATAATTCTTCCTGTTTGCAACCTCGCTCTTTTCCACTGACGACTGAAAGGAGTTTCTAACTGATTTATGCACTTATGATTAAGATTTCTCTAAAGGGATTTGGTATACGAAGCAAGTCTGCAACGTGCTGAAACACATTTGCTTAGTGCTGTTTAAAGCATCTTGGTAAACGGTTCAAACTTTTTCTATTTACCAAAAAAGCCAAGCTACAGGTATTTCTCTACGTTTTATAAAAAAAAAGTTTTTCTTAATTTAAAAAATGTATTCTAAAACTTTCTCATATTTTGGAAACAAATTCCTAAAATTTAAGTTTTTAACAAATATTTTCCTAAAATTTCTTTGTTTTACAAAAATGTTCTCAAAGAAATTAAAAATTTGCAAAATTTAAATTTTTAAACAATATTTTCCTAAGGTTTCTTGTTAAAAAAGTTTTTCTCATATTTAAAAAAATAAAGAATTTAAAATACAAAAATATGTAGAAAATATTTATCAATTAACAAATTGAAAGTATTTCTAAATTTAAGAAAATATTCTAGTTTTATCAATCATTTTTCTCTTACTTAAAAAAAGACCCTCAAAAGTAAATTTCTATATATTTTCTATTACGAAGAGGCATACATATTCGACAAATTAAAACTAAAGTTTTAGTTACGTATTTTCCACTTAAAATTTCCGATTTAGCTTATATATATTTTGTAAATATTTTGTAATTTCCGGTAATGGTTAGCCTTCTGAATAATTTGTCATTTAATATATATAACACCATAAATTAAGCCAGGTAATTATTATCGAGATCTTATAATCGGATCCGCAAATCTCAGTCTTAAGCATCCACTTCAGCTGCACATCAAGATTTAACACAATTGTTTTGACATAAGTCACAACAAATCGGCTGGCGCTCGCCGCAGACCCACACGCATTGCCGTCTGTGTCTGGGATCTGGATCTGGGAGTGGGACTGGGGCTGGGACTGGGACTGCAGAGTGTGGAGTAGCTGCTTCATTCAGCTTCAGACTCGGTGGTTTTTCTTTATGTAGCTGTGAATTTGTCGTCTTTGAACATTTTGCCTGGCATTTTCCCAGTGACAGCAAATGTGATACGAAGGCAGCCCAACTTGACATTATGTTTGACATTTGTAATCTTGCGATCGTTAATTATTTTCGAATTGAGTTACAAAAGGGGGGCCCACGTACAGGCAGAGCCACACAGGAGCAAATTTTCTCAATGCCAACGCGGCAACAAGTAACGCCAAAGATCATACACATTCGACAAATGTTCCCTTACCCGGATTTGGCTGCGGTTCTTTCTTCTCTTCTTGTTATACCCTTGCAGAGGGTATTATAATTTTGTCGTGACATGTGTAACGCATAGGAGACATCTCCGAAACCATAAAGATTATATATTCTTGATCAGTATCAACAGCCGATATATGTCTGTTTCTATGCGAAGGAGTCTCTCAGTTTTAAAGCGTTCTTTATGAAACTTTGCAAAAGTGCCAGTTTCTGTTGCTCGCAGTATATATGTATGTCGGACCCAGCCGGATCGGACTACTATATCATATAGGAACGATCGGTCGATAATTAAGTTGTTGTATGGAAAATTTCTTAGTTTTTCAAGATATTTTTTTACCATACTCGGCACTAACTATTTTTCCTGTGCTTCCTAGATACGGGCAAAGTACTATGAGCATTATGAAAATTTTGCGTCTACAAGGGTATTAAATCGTCGGCGTGCCGAAGATAGCCCTTCTTTCTCGATTTTTTCTTTTATTTTTTGTCTGCCTCGATCCGTCGGTATCTGTGCGTCCCCGTCTGGCCAGGCATTCGTGGCATCCAGTGGCAGTGATAGCTGCAATTTGTTGCTCTGCTCAACAACATTATCTTCGAGTGCTTGACTTTTGTGCTAAACGTTCATAAATTTGTCTCCACAAATATTTTTAGTTGTCTGCCCCAATGAATGACGCTGTGCGTATTTCTATTCTGTTCGCTTTGTTTTTTAGATCAATGTTTACTGTGTCATTTTAATGGCTTTTCAAATACGCATGACATCAATTTTCGGCAATTACTGAAGATTAATGGGCGCCAAAGTTGACCATTGTTAATAATGATATTGAATTATGCCGGCCGATAAGGATGGCACGCTTACTAGCCCGAAAAATTGGAGCCCTTCACCAGCTATCAAGAGTTTCCAGCTTATCACCTAACTTGGCTCTCTAATGCTGATCTTCGGCTTACGCTCAAATGCAAATGTTGACTTCTGATTTATGACCAATAGCCATAACAACATCCGGGGATCCGCTCAGCCCGTCTGCGAGTCAGCGGCTCGCTGGAAATTAGTCACGTATTTTTGCTATTAGCGCTACAATTAAATATACCATGGATTCGCTTTGGATTGGGGCTTAAGATGAGTCAAGAACTTATTTGCAAAAAACATTTTTGCGACGTGCTACTTGTCCATGAAAACAAATTCAGATAAATTATTGCTTATAAGCTAGCCATAGGCAATTCTTCCATTAAAAACATATAAAGTAGTTTTTTTTTTTTTGTCGATCGAATTTAACGTTTAACCGTTAAATATGGGATGATCTTGTTAAAAAAAAAAAAACAAGAAGTACATGAGAGAGACACAAAAACAATAACTGAAAACAAAGTAAATACATATGTGTGTATTTCGAGATTCTATTGCGATGGGCGTGCAGAAAGCAAATACTTCTTAAGTCAGAGTCCACAAAGATTTAACTATGAGCTACCGTCGCCGTCAGTGACCCTTCGATCGTGCCACAATGACCCGGTCTAGGGTGCCGCATTGCCCGTCGGCATTGGACTTTATGTTGCCCGGTGTTGGTCTTATTAAAGGTGCAAACATGCCACCGCCGTTGAGGATTCAAATTCGAGAGTCGCGTCGGTTACGATCAGAGGGCGATGCAAGTGCCGGGCAGCTCCCAGCTCGGATGCAGCTGAAGTGTTTGCCCGTTGCCCGTTGGGTTTATTTTGCGTGTTTGTTTGCTCTCTGAAACCTTCGAATGTGGAGAGTCCACGTTTTACGTAGACATGCATGTATTATTGTTTATTTAATTTTAAGTTACACACAAAAAACAAAAAATAAAACAAAATGGGCTTGGGCTACTTAAATGCACGCTCTAGACCATGTTTGCAATGATGTCTATAAAAAAAACTACATTCGGCGGCAAGCGACAGTGTCGATAATGCTACATTGTCTCTAATGAGTATCCGTATCCTGGCATTTCCACTAGTCACTGAGCTAATCAAGACAAACAAGACGGAAGCTGGGCCTAGCCGAGATCTCGGCGACTGCTGATCCAAGTAGCTGTGCGGTGGCTTCTGTTAATGAAAGGCAAACACACCTACGAAATGTGAAGAGCTCTGGCAAACAGCTTAAAAAATCATAAACTCATTTTTTTGTTTTGCTTTTGTCAGGGCCAGATGAAGAAGAAGCAAGATGCGCGCCCTGCCCTGCCAATATTTGCAGTTGGATTTTAGTTTTATGAATCGATGCGGGCTGTCATTAGAGTCCTGCTGCGGGTCCTACGCTGCTGAGCTGCAGCGGAAGTCGCTATCGGTAGCGGGTACAAATGGCTAACAAATGACTTTGTTTGCACTGAAATCCTACACTCTTTCCCAGTGAGAGAGAGCTGGCAAGCCCTTGAGGGCGACGAGGGCTTCCCCTGGTGCGAGCCGAGAACCGAGCAGCATGGCCCGGCGCAGGCCATAAAAAGCTCAATTAAAATTGTCTATAAAGCGAAATTATAATTCATAAATTCTGGGAAATTGCCGAATACAGTGGCGGCCATTGTTCTGCAGCAGCCGCCGTTGCGACGGCCGATAAACAAATTACAAAATGCTCCAGCAAATGGAGTAGCAGTTGCCAATGCAGTCAGATGCCTTTATTTACGCACTTATCTCGCCTTTCTAATTCTTCGAATTTTTCAACAACAACAAAAAATTATTTAAAATAAAACATTCGCTTTGACAGAAACCGCTACGAGTTTCCTTTGGCAATTAAATTTTTGCCAAAGGCGTGCCGCATTTGTATGCACATATAAATTATATAAAATCGTTAAAGGTTCACCAAAAATTCACCGATGCATGCAAATCCAATTACAGGAGCAATTAACAAACTTTAACTAACTATAACTAATTAAAAATAATATTTTGCTAAACAAAACGATAGCGCGCGATCGCAGCGAAATATATATTTATAAAAAATATATATATTTATAAATAACTAAAATAAACGATGGTGATAATCAGTTAAGGGCCTATCATATCAATGCTGCGATTAAAAATGAATACATACATATGTATATAGATGTATGAGTATGTATGCCGATTTATTTCCTACTTGACTGCTGATAAGAAAAGATTATTCACACATACATATATGTCTTCTTTTTATACCCTTGTTTTTTATTGGTCTAGGCAATGAATTGGAATCTCTGTCTGTGACAGTGTCTTTTGCTATTATTTTTATTATAGTTTCGAGCAGAAATATATTCACATACATACATGTATGTATGTATGTATGTTTGTTTCAGTTGAAATTTGTTTCTGACAGATTTCAAATGCCAAGGGGCAATAAACTAATTTTATGCATAATTGAAATTAACAAATTCAACAGACAACTGGCCATTTGGCCAGCTGATAAGCGATTTTTGTTGTACATTTATATTTTGATGTCTATATGTGCACAAATTAAATACATTGTATTATTTATGACTTGGGATTATGCCATGGGCCATAAGCATTTAATCAACGATTCGCAATTCAGCGAACCCAACAATCAAAACACAATAGAAATGCAATAAATTAAATTAAATATCATTTCGAATTTAAGCAATGAGCAAAATGTCAATTAACACGTTTCCACTTCAAACGAAGCGTTCTATAATTTACCATTATAATGCATTTGTCGTAGAAAAACACAGACTAATTAGTTCGACGCATACAAAGGAAAGGCAAACTTTCGATAAAATAAATAAATAAGACCAATAGATAAACAAAATGGCCGCCAATTGGATTCGCAGTGCGACTGGCAAATTTGTGACTCTACGCCTGCAGAAATGGAATATAAATTTGGCATGAAATGGCATCGTTTTAATTTTATAAATTTTTTTTATTTTTTATTTATTTTGAGGACATGATTTGCGTTATTATTTTACCACTGCTGCAAAAAACTGTACAGCAGCAAAGAAAGCATGGCAAATTAAATTTCCTTTTTCACTTGGCTTTATTTATTTATTTTTTTTTGCAACTACACGCTGCAATATGGCTGTGTGTATAGTGTAGTGCCATAAATCTCTTGCTCTTGGCATGCGGTGCCCGCTTCCTTTGGCCACTGCCCGGGACAACCATACAATTTGATTGACAGTGTGCTGCCGCCGCC